ATTCAAGTGATTGTGTCTTAAATGTAAATTGTGGTCAAAAAGTCTGTGAGTGAATGTTGGATGCGATCATCAATTGCGAGATAATGGGCGGAAGAACTCTTAAGAGATATATTCTGATGGGATTGTTATGTGTGGTCACAATAGCACTCATATATCAATTCAGTTCTCTTATTTACTTCTCATCCCATTCCCCACAAAACCAATGGATATCACCCGAGGTTTGCATACATTTCCTATTGATTTATAATTTAATTTATATTTCCATGTGTTGTCTCGTTTTCAAATGAATACTACAGTATCAGTCATTTAATGTCAAGAATTTTAATAAACAGTACATTTTTACATGAAATATGTGTTTGTTTTTAATGCTTTAAAAGTTTAAAATGCGATGACATTTATCACCGAAAATCTATAGTTTAAATAATTAACATAACTATTGATATAAAAACATACATTTAGATAAAATCTTAGACTTTTTCGTCATATAATCGATTGAAACGGATTTTAACTAAACTGTCAAACATACTGATGGTGTTTGTTATAAAGTATTTTATTAGGTTTTGTTTATGGAAAATATAATTAAAATTTATTTAAATTTAAACATATTTTTCAATCAATTATAAAGCGATTTGAAATGAGTAGTAAAGGCGAGCAAAGCGGCGAAACACATAAGTTTGTATACAATCGATATATGCCTCTCATATTCATCGGAGGAATGCCTAGAAGTGGTACCACTCTATTGAGGGTTCTTCTCGACTCTCACCCGGACATCAGGTGCGGCAAAGAGACCCGAGTTATACCTCGACTCCTGGACTTCGGTCAGTCTTGGCTCAAAGCGCCATTTGAAGCGCGCAGACAATCAGAGGCCGGCATTACCCCCGAAGTGTTCAACTCGGCGATCGGCGCCTTTATACTAGAGATAATCGTAAAGCACGGAAAGCCTGCCCCCAGGCTATGCAATAAAGATCCTATGACTTTGAAATCGGCCGTCTATTTGCGGCATTTGTTTCCGAACTTGAAGTTTATTTTTATGATAAGAGACGGCCGGGCGATCGTCCACTCCATCATCAGTCGTAAAGTGCGTTCAT